GCAGTAGAGCATGAGGTAAAGAATGAGGTAGCTTCCTTTCGTCAGGCCAGACTATCTGTCCATTTTGTCAATATTATATGCTTTCACCAGCAGCAATTCTGAGTCTCTCAAAGTGAGGTTCTGCTCATTGTCTGCTGCCTGGCTTTAAAAAACAAGCTGGATATGCTAAGGACTGACTTGTGGATGTTTTACTACCAAAACATGTGGCCTTCAACTGTGATACCATATGATATGGATGGGGTATACCCAAGATAATATTCAGACTAAAGGCTAACTCATTCAATAGTTTTGAATCCCGGTTCCTTTTCTGATTCATTTTAAATCGTTCATGCATTACACTTTGAGACATTGGTGTGACTTATGGTCACTCCCCTGGGTTTAAAATTGTAAGGCAGCTTCCTGCCTGGAAGAAAAGTTGCCCTCTCTGCCTGCCTTTGTCAGGGTTGAAGGACTGCTTCAAATTCCTAGGTGCAAGCATCAAATTTGCAGGTGCCAAGGCAACACTTCTCTGGAATTTATACTGCCTGTTGCACTGTAGTCTCAAAGTGATGTATTTCAGGCTATGATCGTCACTCGTCCATTTAATACATGTGATGAATTTTCAGAACTGGGAAAGCTAAAAGAACGGTGTTAACTACTGTTTGTGAGCTCAAAGATCTATTCTGGTTTATCTAATGGAGGGGGCAGCTTTGTTCCAATTTATTTGAGGTTAATTTGCCATTTAAGTTGTGCCATGTAGTACCCATTTAACCTATGAGGAAGCCCTGCCAAACTTTCAAAACTAGGATTTTGAATTGACCTATGGAAAACTGGATTGTACATAACCTTAATCCTAACTTCATCCATAAATTAAACATCGAGGAACATTTTGCAGCGTTTTCACCAATTTCTGAGATGTTTATGGTGTTCAAGCTGACTAGAAAAGCCCTCCCATCACAAATAGTTGGGTCTTATTTATAGGTGTTTGGTGAGAAAAGGACAGCAATCTGCACAAACTCAGTAACACTCCTGATTCGGGTCAAGGAATTCTGCTCCACATACATTTGGTGCCCCATCTTTCTTCATTGTTGCTGGTAGTGGGTCCTGGGCAGGGAGGAGGAATTGCATGGGAGAATCTAAAGATTTGTGATGGTGCTGTTTCTGTCAGAGCTCCTCTACTTCCAAGCATGGAATTTCTTTCTGAGCCAAAGAGATGGCAGTAGTGGCCATGAGACTCAGAAAGGGACTTAGGTTTCCAAGGGGGCTGCTTAGATTCAGATCTTCCTTTTAGGATCTCAGAACTTCCCATTGAACCACTTAGATACTTTTCATTTTGGATTCTTCTATCAAGACCTTCTTTTTGGTTGTATTTACTTCAGCCAGAAGGGTTTCACAACTTGCTGCCATATTCATTTCTTCATCTTGCTGCAAATTTGACACTGGCACAGTTTCTCTACTGTTGAACCCATGTTCCCTGCCTTAATAAAATGTATGTTTTGTTCCTCCCAGCCATAGTATTCTGTTCTCACTCATCACACCCTTGTAAGCACTCTAGAGGGCTCCCAGCTGCTGCTTACCTCCCTCCCTCATCGTTTTGACATAAGGATGCAGCAGGCTGCCACATCCTTATGCCTAGTGGATGGGGGGCATTTTGAGGGCTGAACATAAGAGCCCAGAGGGCTGTGTCTGGTCCGCAGAGCTTAGTATGCCCATGCCGGAGCCAGAGGCTTACCAGACTCCCCTCCCCTCCCCCTTAAACCAGGATGACTACAAGCAATGTCACGTCTATTCCGTAGTAAGAGACAGTGTGGAAGTCGGCTTTTACCAACAGTTCTATGGCTTTTGTAGAGGCATCAATAGAGAGTGAAATGAAGATACGTGCCAAGAGGAGGGTGCATCAAGCAAACCCTTGTTGGGACTGCCTTCCATCTGGAAATCAATGTCCTCATTGTGATAGAGAATGCCAATCCAGAATAAGTCTCTACAGTCACCTATGGACCAACTGCCAAGACTTCTTCTGGAAGACAATCATACTAGGCCATGAGGGATCCCTATGATGATGAAGAGTTATACTTCTTTCCTGGGTTACTTAAAGTGAGGCAGCATAGAATATAGAAGTGCAAGAGCTTTGAAAACACTGATAACATACTATTTTGCCCTATAAATGGAAAATAAAGTCTGATTTTTCTATAGCAAAATTTTGCCACTGAATACTCCAAGAATACCAAGAACTCTACTATTCCATTGACTTTGCCATATTTATGTTGTATCAGGAATGGCTCCACAATGTCCTTTGAAAAGAAGGTGCAACACTGAACTGGGCTACAAAGAGGCTTCTGTGCTGTAAAGGTGCTTTTAAATAATGGGTTTGCTTTTTCAGTGAGCATTGTGTCTTTTTAAGCTGCTGACAAACCACCACAACAACAGCACACTAACAAATCTAACACCGAGGAGCAGTGAGAGCCATAAAACTGAGCAGAGAAAACAGCAACAGTAGAATGGCAGCTTAGTATAATGGTTTGAGGGTAGGACTAGGACTCCAGAAAACCAGAGTTGAAATTGCCACTTGGCCATAGAAATCTTTTGGGTGACCTTGGGCAAGTTACATTCTTTCATCCTAAGATGAAGGCAATGGCAAATCTGCTCTGAACCAATCTTGCCAAGAAAACTCTTTGATCAGGATCACCTTAGAGTTGGAAATAACTTGAAGGTACACATCAAATAAAGCAATAGTGCCAAGTTGTAAGTAGTGAAAGCACGCAACAATATTTTCTTTCTCCCTAAAACACATGAGCAGCTTTCTCCTTGCACAAAATCCCCAAAACATCTAAAACGCGCAGAAGTTAACCCCATATAATGCAACTCATACCTTTTTTGAACTGACCTAAACAGAAAGGAAAGATGATTGCACTCTGAGTAGTGTATTGGCTAGAGCTTGAATGTTAATAACAAAATATTGGAAAGCTTCAGCTCTGCCACTCCTTGATTGAAATGTGTTGGGAAAATGTGATATGTTATGAACATGTTGAAGCTGTCAGCAATTCTGAAGGTGTTCGATGTTCAGGACTATGTGTGCATTATTAGCACATAAAAGGTATTCAGGAGAATTGTGGCATTTTGCAACAGGTTTCCTGGAAAAAAAACCTGTTGGAAATCCTGTCAGTTTGATTATGATAATGATAAATGTGTTAACTGCACTTTTTGTCATTGTGCTATATGACATTTTAAAAGTAAAACCTTGCCTGTTTTATATTTAGCCATGGAAATAGAAGCCAAAAATAATCCTAATTTCACTTCTGTTTTCATACAATTTATAACAGTTATCCAGGTGCATTGTACTGATTTGTGGGGTGTTTTCTGAACCCACTGCAATTTGAGTGAGTTTCAGGGGTTTTAAATGTTCAATATCCACAAGAGTATCAATTGGTGTCAAATCAAACATCTTCTACAATGCCCAGACACCCAGAGCCAGAAAACAAGTTCATATTTGTTCTGTGTCTCCGACAGCTTTCTTTTCTACAAGACATATAATCAGCATAATTTCTGTGCCCTGAAAATACTACTGTTATTTCCAACTAGCCATTTTGCTAGCCATTTTGAAAATAACTAGGATGTGCTACTTGAATGCTCCAGTGGGCTTTGCAGGACAAATTTCTTACAAAAGATACAATATCTGTTTTATTTTAATAGTCTGCTGCATTGTAGAAGTGATGGGGATGAGATGTGTGGATTGAGCTCTTAATTCATCATTCCCTTGAGCTACTCAGGGAATAGGCAATAAATTTGATCATTTATTTATTTACTAGCTGTACTCACCACACGTTGCTGTGGCCAACCTTCCCTCTCTCTCTTCTTTCTTTCTCCCCTTCCTTCCCTCCCTCTTTTCTTCCTTCCTTCCCTTTTTTTGATCTTTCTCTCCTTCCTTTCTTCTCTTCTCCTTGCCTTCCTTCCCCCACACCTTTTATTTCCCTTCCTCTTTCTCCCCTTTCTTCTTTCTCTACCTATTCTTGGACTGCAACTCCCAGCAGTCCTCCTGATCAATCAATCTATCTACCTACCTATCTCTATCTAATGTATCTCAAGAATTGCTGGGAGTTACAGTCCAGGAATAGGAAATTGAAAATATGCAAAGAAATCCAAGGAGAAGAAAGCTTGCAGCTTGGAAGCAGTGCATTTGGATCATCCTTCTCTCCTAAACGGTCTGGTCTAGGGGATGCTGGGAGCTGTAGCCTGAAAGAGAGTGTGGACATGCTATTGTGTGTTTTGTTTGCCAAGGGAAGTCATTTTTGTGCATGTGCTGTAGTATCTTTTTGCTTTTTTGGCTTTTTAAGTCCCTTCTGCTGTGTTTTTCAGTGTTTTTAAGAGTGATGGTCACATGTTGACCTGATAGGTGTATTGTGCCCAAATTAAGTGTCAATTTTTCCAGTGGTTTTTGAGTTATATTAATCCCACAAATGAACATTGCATTTTTATTTATATAGAGTTATTTATTGAAATTGCAAATTGCAATGGTCCCCTTGGTATCCTCTGGGGATTAGCTCCAGGATTCCCTGTGGATATCAGACTCCATGGATGCTCAAATCCTATCATATACAATGGCACAGTAAACTGATGTCCCTTTTAAAAACTAATAAATTCAAGGTTTGATTTATTTGTTTGTTTTTGGGCAGGGTGGAGGGAATATTTTTAATATATGGGTACAAAATTCATGGATATGGTGGATCAGTTGTACCCTTGCATTTAATCTATTACATCGGAGTTTGTAACATGACCTTGCCACAAACCCACACAATTGTGTACATAGCCATGTGGGCATGGGAAATACTGTATGCAATGGTACCACCAGCTTCCCGAATACTGGAGGGTCACATTGATACCTCTAACAATATCCTTCCCCCCCCCCCCCAATAATTCCACACAAAAAGTCAGCTCTGGAGGATATCTTATTGTAAAATTGAATGGCAGATTTGTTGCCATGATTATAAACTAAGGGTTTCATGTTTTTTTTTCTTTCCTTCAAGGCTTTAAAGCAACAAGATGCTAAATCTAATGAAGTAGACATGGCATTAAAAAGTAAAATCTTGAAAATAGAAGGTGAAAAAATCAAAGTAAGTTTGCATTTATCTATCTATCTATCTATCTATTTATTGGTATTAGTGGAATATTATTTTTTTCCCACTGGTGCAGTCTCCCCTGGCTATGTTGGTGGTTGGGAGATGACGAGGAGAGAATAGGCAGAACTGTTCGTTCTTCACTCTTCGTCATATGACTCATACAATTCTAATTTTGTAGGGAATTTGGCAACATGAATAGAGTTTCACGTGAGCCAGCATGTTGTAGTGGTTTGAGTCTTTGACTAGTAGTTTGAGAGACCATGGTTCATCCATAGAAACCCATTGAATAACCTTGGGAAGTCACTCTATCTCAACCTCAGAATAAGGCAATTGCAAATCCCCTCTAAAGAAATTTTGCTAAGAAAACCATGTAATAGACTTTCCTTGGGGTCACTGTGAGTTGGAAATGACTTGACACTGTAAAACAACAACAACAACAACATAAGAAGAGGCATATTGGATCAGACCAAAGACTTATCTAGTTCAACATTCCGTTAGTATCGTGTCCAGTCAGTTGCTATATATGTTATATGTTTTGAATCTTTAAGCATTTAGCTTTATTGGATGATTGTGGGTGCTGGCATCAAGAAAGAAGGAAAACTTCTCCCTACTTGTAGTCTCTATATCATTCATAAATTAATGGAGTCTCTGGTGGGACAATGGGTTGTGCCAGCAGGACTGCTGACCGAAAGGTAGGCAGTTCGAGTCTGGCGAACAGAGTGAACTCTCATTTGTCAGCTCCAGCTTCTCATACGGGGAAATGAGAAAAGTCTTCCTCAGGATGGTAAAACATCCGGGCGTTCCCTGGGCAATGTCCTTGCAGACGGCTAATTCTCTCACACCAAAAGCGACTTGCAGTTCCTCAAATCGCTCCTGACACACAAAAATGGATAATTTAATATATGTCTGTAATTGCCATTTACATGTCTTAGGTCCAAGCTAAACAGCCCCCAAAGATATGAAGACTACCTGGGTGCAGATTGCTACCCGTCAACCTTATCTGCCTCATACAATTGCAATGAGCTTAAACAACTGCCTTTTTGAAAAAGTAGGAAAACAGAATAACAAGAAAAAATGGATCAGGGAAACAAGGGGGAAGAAATATACAGTATTGAAGTCTAGATGAGGCGCTCTATCCAAAGCATAGAGCAGAGTAGATTTCCCCATTGATATTTTGGTACTGAACATCATAAGCAATATGGAAAAAGTGGGTATTGCATAGATTGAGTGAAGGTGAAACTGATTTGCCCAAACAGGAGCGCCTGGGAGATCCTCATTTTTTCTCTGGCAAGTTCCTATATCATTAGATGAAGCATAGCAAGCCAGACAAGAAGGAAACATCTTTAAATGATACTGGATTGGATCCAGACTAAGGAAGATGTACTGAAATCAGTAGGACTTGAATGTAAGGCCACTGACTGTGTCAAGAACTCATATAACTCTGTTAGAATCCATCAGTTTTATTCGTTATTCACATTTGTGTGAACATGTGCATAACCACAAGCTCACACAGATATGTAGAATTCTTAGGATTGTGTTATTTGTAACAATTGAAATATTAGGGAATTTAGCATGTGAAGTTGCATTTGGAAAGCAAAAGGTAACTGGGTCAGATCCTAAAATGATATGCTTTGTTTGTTTTAGGTTTGAATTTAAGAGCAATGCACATTTCAAGGAGTCACATTGAGTTTTGGATTACTTACAGGCATATGCTGCACCATTGTACTTGAGAGTTTTGGACCCCCCCCCCCATGTGTCCTGAAATATTAGTTTTCTTATCTTCCAATGGGATCCCTGAGACCCGTCGCAAACTAGGTTCCTGCGGGAGAAAACCTTGCTAGCATGTCCCTGACGTCATGAGACTCCGCCTCTCGCCCCGCCCCTTTCTCCGCCCCTTTCTCTTTGCCAGCGTGGTTTTTCCTTTGCTAGGGCAGCATTGCCTGCATTTTCTCTCTGACGTCATGAAACTCCGCCTCTCGCCCCGCCCCTTTCTCCGCCTCTTTCTCCTTGCAAGAGTGGTTTTTCCTTTGCTAGGGCAGCATTGCCAGCATACTCTCTCAGTTGGCAGAATTCAACTGAGAGAAAATGCGGGCAATGCTGCCCTAGCAAAGGAAAAACCACGCTGGCAAAGAGAAAGGGGCGGAGAAAGGGGCGGGGAGAGAGGCGCAGGCTCATGACGTCAGGGACATGCTAGCAAGGTTTTCTCCCGCAGGAACCTAGTTTGCGACGGGTCTTAAAACCATACTCTGCTCCGCTTGAAGATGGAGGTTATTTGGTAAGAGAGGGAGATATATTAGAAATTCAATTATGTGATCTAGTTTTTAGGTGGAAAGCATACAATAAATTCAAGTATCTGTAAACAGATAATTTGATCCAAGTTACGACTGAGATAATAGATACTTGGTGAGCTTATCATAGTATTGCTTAAGAAATGAACATTCAGAGTGTTTCTGGTATATTAAGCATTTATCTTCAAAATTCATAACATTACTAGTAATTGAATGCATTTTGTCACTGCTTCTAATCCAAACAAGCTTGAACAGGATTTGGAACGTTCCCAGAGGAAACTGGATCAGTCAGAAAACAGCCGAGAAGCTCTTCTCCACCAGGTAGCTGCTGTCTTTTGTGGAATATCTGTCTCCTTTTACAGTAGGCAGCACTTGGGCTTTTAGAAGTGGCTAAAAAATAGTTCAATAGCCAATCAGAAGGAGGTGTGATAAAACATCCAGAATAGTCTATACCATACTCAATTACAGGAGAACATTTCATGTAAGGTTCTTCTACCAAAATGAGCATAAGAAATTTAACTAAAACCTACTGTTTTCATTTCTCTCATGGCATAACAACTCTACCAATCAAATATATTGTCTAAAAGCTTTAAAAATATTCAATTTATTGTTTTGTACTTGCTAGCCTACTCTTCTTAGTATAATGTAGCTTGGGATGAAAAAATGTCTTCAGTCACCCACAGAATTTCATGGCTTGTATGGATCAAGCATTTTAATGCCATGCAAAAAAACAAGAAGGAGTACAAATGATGCAGGATAAAAATCTACAAAGACTGGAAAAAGCCGTAACCCCCAGAACCAATAGCCATGTTGTCTGGGGGATTTAGGGAGGAGTATAACAACGGAACTTTCCCATGCTAAGTAAATTATCATTTGTGTCTCTAAGGTCTTCTTTTACGTGGCATTTTGCTATGTTTGTTTTCAGTGATTTCTCTGTATTTGTATCTGACTCTTCTTCTGTAATTGATGTTCTTGAAACAAGTTGTGTTTACACAGCAATAGGTTGGTTCATGACTAATGAGGGCTTTCCATAGTCTTTAATTGTGTGGTTTCCCCTCTTTCTCTCCCAATATTGTTGGCAGAGCTTAGTCATCTGCCATTTTAGCTGATTATCTGATTTAATCTAGTTTCTCATTTTGGGTCAAATGAAAATATCAGATATCCTTTGTGCACACATATGTTCCTACCTATAAAAATAAGGTGATTTAAAGATTGTATTTACAGTTTATATTGACCCTATCTCCCTGTTTATATTGTGATTGTACAAAACGTTTGGCTTTCCAACAGGCACATTTTGATGTATTTTCAAAGAGCAGGGGAAAAAAATATTGCCTTAAAAATAAGTAAATTGAATGGCTGAACACTTTCCTCCCAGTCCTGGAGCTATTTTGTTCCGCTTTCTTTGCACAACCAAATTATAACTTGTGAAAGTGAATTGCCTTGCAGTGCCTAATCTCTTTTCTGGCATCTAGCAATATACTTTTTTTCAGAAGCAAAACCAAACAAAAAAACCCCCTAGATTCTCATTCAACAACTTGTGTATTCTGATTGTCTGCATGTATATGCTACTGTTTATTCTGTGGAAACAGCACCCCCCCCCCACTACTGTTTGCTGAGCAAACAGTAATTGGATATGGATTATTTAATATGAAAATGGAATGGTAAAGGAAGGATTAGCTACTTGCTCTCACTCTTTTAAACAATCTGCAGCCCCTGGCAACTTCTGTATGTACTTGTATATACATTGACTTCATGTCTAAAGCAAGAGCAGGCTTTGAACCAAAACTCTGGATTTTGATACGACACGTGAATAACTCGAGGGTCATTCCTCAGAGAAAGAAAAGCACCAGCACTACCTCAGAAGGTCAGCCATCCCTGACTGCTGCTGCCAGTTTCCCACACAGGCCAGAGGTGATGCCACAGTAGAGAGTAGAGGGGTTTGGTGCTTTTTTAAGGTTCTCCTGGGATCGATTAGGCTTTCACCTTTCACTCTTCTGCTTTTTTTTGACTAAAAATTTTAGAGTTATGTATGAATCCAGTCATTTTCAGATTCATATAAAACAGATCTAGTCAAGGACTTTTAGTATAACATGTATTTTGGGCCTGAACACAGATAAGGATATAATAGCACCACCTGATAATTTGCAATATCCAATTAAAAGAGAGATTTAGTTTTTTGTCGGGTACAAATATGGCCATGTTTTGTTTGTAGCTTAGGATAGCTTCATTGATAATAACCATGAATGTATCCTTTCACATGTGACTAAAATTCAAAGTGCTGGCATTAGCCTATAAAGCCCTAAACGGTTCTGGCCCAACTTACCTGTCCGAACGCATCTCCTTCTATGAACCCGCTAGGACGTTAAGATCGTCTGGGGAGGCCCTGCTCTCAGTCCCGCCTGCATCACAAGTACGTCTGGCGGGGACGAGAGACAGGGCCTTCTCAGTGGTGGCCCCTCAGCTGTGGAACACCCTTCCTACAGAAATTAGATCGGCCCCCTCCCTGTTGGCATTTCGGAGGAAAGTGAAAACCTGGTTGTTCGAGCAGGCATTTGAATAGGCAGTGTATTGAATATAGGAATATGGAACAACGGATTGTGAGATTGGATCTTGATTCTACCTATGAGACGCTAATGAGATGTTATAGTTATGTTTAATTGATTGTTTACTATATCATTGTTTTTAACTGTTTTTAAATTCTTGTTATGATGTTGAGCATTGAATGTTGCTATTGTTGACCGCTTTGAGTCGCCCAAGGGCTGAGAAAAGCAGTATATAAATGAAGTAAGTAAGTAAGTAAGTAAGTAAATAATAAAACCATTTCCTAGTGTGCTTAAAAGTTGCTACTTGTCTGTGTATGTGTGTACGTGTCTGTTAGATTGAGGATCTCCGTTCCCAACTCCTTAGAGCAGAAGAGGAGCGCCTGAATCTTCATCATCAAATTTCTCGGGTTGCCATACATCAGAGCCAGCCAAATGAGCAGGAAAATGACAGGAGGAAGCAAAGAGGTAGAACTTTAAAAACCCTCCTGCTTAGATACATCCTACCTCTGTTCACGCCCAGTGTTTATTTTAATTTTTTTAAATTTTTAATTTATTACATTTGGCCCAGCCATAAGGTTTTAAATTCTCAGTGTTGTTGTTTATATGTAAGTTATATTAATTGTACTGTTTTATTTACTTGCTGCATTGTTTTTACTGATGTGTTGTTGGGCTTGGCCTCATGTAAGCCACCCCCAGTCCCCTTGTGGAGATGGTGGTGGGGTATAAATAAAGTTTTATTATTATTATATTATTATTAGAACTGTCCACTCCATTTTCCGTCCATTATTGTGCCACATTGTGACAGTATCATGAGAAGGATTCAGTGATTGTAATGATAAATTGCATTTTGCCAAAATTTCCAGAAAGGAGGTAGGATGGGAGTCTACAAGCATTTTGCCAAACCATTTAAAAATAATGTCATGTACCAAATGTCTAATTTCCACAGTATCTTTGTATTGAATTCTTCTCATGACTGAAATTTACAGATGTTTATAGACATGTTTCTGTTGAAACGTGTGTGTGAGAGGCTAAAATCAGTTGTGAGAACTACATATGTATTGACAGAGCTATCATAATTTTGCAAATAGAAAATGTATTATGTGTAGGTCTTTTTTTTTTTGGTTTCACATGCAAAGCCCTAAAAAGGGTCTAATCCTATTTTACTTCATATTCTTTAAAATATTTGATTTCTCATAATATCTTCAGATGTATACTGTGGAGATGGTTTTGGTGTACATAGATTTCAGAAGTAATATCTTATTATTATTATTATTTTACAAGAATTTAATTCTCCGTTAAATTTTGGAAATTCTATCCATTGATTTTTACCAGGCAATCATTTAACCAGCTTGGATCCAATTTCTTATTGTCTGCTGAAGGAATATGAATTGCAACTTTTAGATTAAATGCAAGATTGTGCTCCCACTACAGCTGCACCATGACAGAACCTCATTTCGCTTCCTTTCTCCCCCTTGTATCCCACAGCATCAGCTCTTGCTCTTAAGCTCTGATGATCTTCCCAGCCATTGAGAGCCTGTTTTGAGAGTTCATGCAGCTGATTTCCCCCTTCTGATTCTGCTGATGGAAGCAATGCCTTTAGCAAATGCTCTCTTAATTTTGTATAATAATTATTAGGGTCTATATCTTGTTGATCATGGATTTCTTCTTTTATAGTGATCACAGTATCGTATTGCACGGAGTTGATGAATGCCTTGTTAAGAAAAATCAGAACCCGATCTGAAAATGATCATTAGAACCAATTACACTAGAAGGCTGTGGAAACATTTACTCAAAACCTGCTGTTGTACATTTGCCATTCTTTCAACGGTGCTGATGTAGGAATTCTTTGTAACCTGATGTAGAAGCAAATTGAGATAGCTTATCATTTCTATGTAGTAGATTTTGACCTACTAACTTTTATCACTACATCCATGCAAACTCTATATGTGCAGGTTTTATTTGCTTCTTGTAGTATTTCATAGCCCAATTGTGTCATGTATTCCAGTGACAGAGAGGACTGATCCAGGGAAAACAGAGATGGAGAAAGAGATCTGGGAACTGAGAGCAAAGCTAAATCACAGTGCTGTGATGTCAGAAATAGAGGAATTAAAGCGATGCATAGAGCGTAAGGACAAAGAAAGAGCACAGCTTGGACTGCAAATAGAGGTAAATATTTTTAAAATAAAATACCAGACCCTTTTAATTTTAATGTTGTCATGAAAAAGTGTATAAGACCAAACCATGAACTTTCAAATTTGGAAATCAGGTGATAATCTTGTGGTTGGCTTGGATCAGATCAGATTGCAGATGAGGGCTCACATAGACTGTTCAGAAGAAAGGTAGGCTTAGAATTCTTATTCTTGAAACTTATTTTGTTATGTGCTGGAAATATTCATTGTTACAAGTCCTCACTTGCCATTTAATCAGCTTTATGTGAGATTAGCGTATATATCTAGTGTTGTCTGGGCCACTGTCAGCCTGCTTTCTCTCTTCTTCAGCTCTGAGAAGGCCTTCCTCACAATATTTCTATTGCAATTCTCTTGCTGCAGTGGGCAAGTTCTCTTTGTGATTCTTTCTTTCCTTCCTCCATTTCCCTCATTCATCTTCTCTCTCTCTTCTTCCTTCGTTCCTTTCTTCCCTTGCTTTCCATCATGCACCTCTCCACTCCTTCCTTTTCTTTCTTTCTTTTTTCTCTTTCCTTATTCCATCCTTTCCTTCATTTAATTTCCTTCTCTTTTTCCTCCCATCATGCCCTTTCCCCTTTACTTCCTTACCTCCCCCTCCTTTTTTTCTCTTCCCTCCTTCCTTTATTTTCTTTCTCCCTTCCTTCCTTCTTTCCTTCCATCCATCCATCACTCTCTCATGTACATATCACCTAGCAGCCAATCTGCTTTGCTATTAGTGTTATTATGTCCTATTGGATTATGTTTATTTTGTTTTCATTTTGGTATTTTAATTCTTTTGTTAGAAGTTTACTATTATTTTGTGCATTGTTCTGTATTTTTATGTTTTTGTATTTATTTAGGGCATTGAATGTTTGCCTTATTTTGTGTTTAAAAAGTCCTGAGTCCCTTCGAGGAGAGATGGCAGTCTAGAAATAAAAATTTATTGTTATTATTATTATTATTAATAATAATAATAATAATAATAATAATCCCTTCTTTCTTCCCTTACTTCCTTTCCCCTTCTTTTTCTTTCTTTCCTTTCCCCTCATATCTTTCCCCCTTTCCTTTCTTTTCCTTCCTTCCCTCCTTTTTCTCCCTCCAACCGTTTTTCTTTCTTTCTTTCTTTCTTTCTTTCTTTCTTTCTTTCTTTCTTTCTTTCTTTCCTCCCTTCCTATCATATACATGTCACCTATCAACATCCAATCCTCTCTACTCCCTTTATTTTCCAATCACATGACAGAGGGCCACTTCACCTAACCACAGCCAATCTGCTTTATTCATTTTGTTTCCCTCTGTTCTAGACTCATAAGGGGTGGGCTTTTTAAAGTTCATACCCTTAATTTTTTTATATTGGGTAGTGAAGAGTATGTATACCAGATCCATCAAGCTATGTAGGAGCCTTTTTGGGACAAACACACATACTTTAACTTACATATAGAGAGAGACATAGACTGGTCTTTTGAAGAAAGAACTTGGCCACATCCCTTTGAACAAGGAGATCCACATCTCTATGTGTATGAGTTTCTGTCTAGTGTTGATATAAAGTCAACCTCCATCACACAATTGTTGATGTACTGAGAGAGAGCAAAAGGAAAAAACCCCTTTCTTCTACCTCTTTCCCTAGAACAATTGGTACCTGATAGAATTTGACGTATGTATCAACAAAAGGCTGAGCCCCTCATAAACACTGCAGTTGTTTTCAGTTTGTAGTCAAACTAGTGATCCCCAATAATGCCATATAAGAATGATTCTGACTGTGAAAAGAATAGACGTATTGTTATCGCCAGCAGATTTAGCTTCTCTCTGGATCTCTGTGGAGACAGCTTGAATTTACCAAGCTATTAATCACATGAACATCATTCTACCATTGTGTAGTCAGTATAAAATGGTTGACACATTCAGTGAGATTATGTTGTTCAGAATTATTTGGATGCGCTGTAGCCAAAATGTACAGTCTATCACTTATTGTTGGATAACAGATTCTAGATTAAATATTCACATAATGTTTTATTTGGTTAATTACTTGACAATTTACATCAAAAACATGAATCAAGAAATGTAGAGTAGAAGCACACACAAAAATTGGTTAATTACTTTGATCCAACTACAAAGTAAAATGGAATAGAACCTGCCACTGATGATTATGGTGGGCACTTGTACTCTTATAAAATCATTTTTCTGGTATTATTTGTTCTAAGTCTGCCTTGTTTCAACTTAATGTGTAGACTAATTTTAGTTGCAGTTTTAGAACAGATGCACCTGCTGTTTTTTGGGGACTTTGTTTAAATCCCCAAACACTTGCTTTCAGGAAACAATGTCGTTACTCTTTGTGTAATACTCAAAGTATTAATGCCAATACTTTATTTTTATAGATGGAGTGATCAAAAATGTAGCTAGGACATTTTGTATTAATTGATACTGTGATGCTTTCTGTGTGATGGACTGTGAACTTAGCATTCAAATACAATGTGCCCTTTGCCTGCATTGTTATCCCTCCAGATCAATGGATATGTAGCAGAGACGTCAGGTACAAAATACAGTAAAACCTACATTTTGATTCAAGTACTATCACCGATTTTTCCTTTCTCCTGTATGATTTTTTGCATGATGGAGAAGCCAGTGGAGCTTCAAATGCTTGCACAATGCCTTTTGTGCATTTTGTTTAGCCAAAAAAAGCTATCTTTCTTTTGTGTTTTATTTTAAGATACTGGTGTTATGGAGCTGTCTGTAAAGTTAAGACTTCTTTTCCATCGGGATTTAAAAAATAATCTTGAGCACACTGTTACTCTTTGAAGATCAAACTCCAGTTAATCAAGTTTGAATAGTATAAATGGGTAGCCATTAGAGAAGCAGTGTTTAATTTGGCATAGCTGTGCATCTCAAAGTAGTGTTTAATTTCCTTTATAATTATGTAATCAGGATTGTATTGGAAGCTGCCAGCTTGCTCAGACCGTTAAGAACAGATCAGAGTTTAGCAATAACTTTGCAAGTACAATTCTAATAAGGACTTCTCTGAAATAGATGGCAGAATAACTAGAGAACGGCTCCAGATACAAAATGTACATTACTGGAAAACTGACTGATCGATCTTTAAATTTGTTACAAGCTAATATTCATAGCCTTCTTATTTCCCATAAAAGGAATAAAATTCAGTATAATAAAATATTAATATTTCTCCCCGAAGGATTTCAAGATTGAACAACTTGCGAGAATGATTACCTGTTGAAGTGTTGAAATTACTGATTGCAGTTTCTGTGAATATAATAAGAATGCTAAATAAAGTAATAAATGCAAGGAAAACAATGTTGCCTTGTAAGAATTTAATTTTGTGGCAGATTATTTTTTGATGGTGTTTAGATGCTGAATGTTTTCCAGTAATCTAAGTGTTCCTTTTGATTATTTTTTTACAAGCTTTGATACTACAAGGTGGCTGAGACAGCCTGCTTTTGTAAGCTTTATAAATCTAAGGGTTTAGTGGTCTTTCTCACAAGAACAAATCATACAATAGACCTTGTGCTTCCTGCCGTTACCCTCCAAGGGAGACAGTAGTAGCAGCTGCAGGAGGCAAAAAGGAAATGGATTATTTCCCTCTTGATGCGACATTAAGATCCAAAAGGCTGTGAACTTGAAAACTACAGTAGTAAAACATCATTCCATCAGATCTGTTCTTTATAGTGCCACTTCCATCTGCAAAGCTGATATAGCTCTGTGCTTTTCCCAGATGGAGTTGGGCAGGCTTGCTCATTGCCGTTTGGTGATTCGGGAAACAGCTGAGTCTTTTCTGAATTGTTTTCCTAATTTAAAGTGCCATTACTCTGGCTCTTTGGATTTAAAATAGGGACTCTGAGGACTTCAGATCGTGAGCAATTTTCCCCACCTCAAACCCACAAGTAACTGTGGCCCAGTGTCTTCATGAAGTTTGCTAGATACTTTTATAAGCCTGGAGACAGCAGAGAGTTTATAGGGATTTGGGTACCTGGAAATATTCAGGTCATTATTTGCTAAGAGTCTATCTCTTTCTAAAGGCATGAACTATGTCTTGTCAGATGTTATTAGTAAATGTGCCTAATTTGGTTAGGAAAATGCTAGTACTTTTTTGGGAAATGATTAGATGGTTGGATTCATATGCAGTCACATTACACTTGCATTTCTCTGTAGGAAATAGGTGTGGGTGAGTGAGATGGCAAACAACAATAAACCCAACCAGGGCAATGGCCAGGATCTATTAGTGATGTTTCCCCTAATGAAACTGCTTTGATCAATGGAATGAGTGTAGGATGCCTTCTCCTCAGCATGCCCTTCCTCATGCACTCTTAAAAGCTGTTCCTTAGTGCTGGGAATCATTGAACATTTTAGATGCCTTTGGAGGGCTGCAGGTGGGAGAGGAGGAGAGGAAATTCTGAACAGTCACTCATGCTGTAGATAAAATAGAAATAATTTTCAAGGCTGCACTTAAACGTGACAAGTTTTTTCTATAATTCTACATATGAATATCCACAATCACTTGCACTCTGAATATGAATATGAATATTTATTACTTTAAAATTGTTGTAGGCACTGGAAACATATGGATACTTGTGTTCAGAGTGGTTAAGGATGTGACTTTATATTCCCTTTTAAAAAGAGCCCCATATCTGTAGAACTCTGTTGAAGTCCCCTTTTCACCAAAGGTCAGCTGGAAAATATTGCATTGTGGAAAAAAGGCATAGTTCATGAAGAACTGAACCAAGGAAAACATATGATTGACTACATGATTGAGATTCTTGGAAGAAAATAAAATCCTTCCCCTACTTTTCCTCTTCCTCCTTCTCCCCCCCCCCCACCATTTATTTATATAGCAACATCAGTGTACATTGTTCTTTACAAGTAATAGTACAAGACAGTTGTTCTTGCAGTATGATGTTCCATTATAGACTATATATGTTTTTAGGAGGTAGACCAGAAGTGCTTAATTGGATACAAGAACCCAAATATTTTCACAGGGATTAAGAATGATTAGCG